GAGCAAGAGTCGGTCTCAATAAATAAATAAATAATTTTTTAAAAAGGAGTCTGCCCACTGCTCACACAGGACACCAGAATAAACTCTCAGTGGGGCGGATGGCATAAATCAGGGGGACCCCCAGCTCCTGGGATTCGCCTCCTTTCTTCCTTCCCACTCAGGGCGTGGATTTCAGTGTGTGCAGCCTCCTGAGAGTTCAGCAGGGCAGAGAATCATGGGACGCAGAGTCTCCACGGGGTCCTGGAATCCCCTAACCCTGGGGTGATTCTGCCCCCAGGGGACCCTGGGGGAGGTCTGGGGACATCTGTGGTTGCCACGGTTTGTAGGGAGCTCCTGGCATGGAGTGGGTGTAGGTCAGACACACCGCCCTGCAGTGCCCCAGACAGCCCCACCCCAGAGAAGGATCTGGCCCTGATGTCTGCAGCCCAGGACTGAGGATTAAAGTATTTATTTATAACTGAGCAGCTTAAACCTACAGTAAAATAAAGAGAAGCACTGAATGAACTTGGGGACCAAAAGAAAGCATTTTTTTTTGTTGTTTTTTGAGACGGAGTCTGGCTCTGTCGCCCAGGCTGGAGTGCAATGGCGTGATCTCGGCTCACTGCCACCTCCATCTCCCAGGTTCAAGTGATTCTCCTGCCTCAGTCTCCCGAGTAGCCGGGATTACAGGTGCCTGCTACCATACCCAGCTAATTTTTTGTATTTTTAGTGCAGACGGGGTTTCATCGTGTTAGTCAGGCTGCTGTCAAACCCCTGACCTTGGGATCTGCCTGGCAAAGTGCTGGAATTACAGGCGTGAGCCACCGCGCCCGGCCTCCAGAAGAAAGCTTTTTAACGTTTCATTTGGAAAGAATTTCACACTTAAGAAGACCACAGGGTCCCGACTCCCACCCGCCCCAACTCCCTCCCCAGCCTCCCTCCCCGCAGGCTGGATTCCCCGGCCTCCCTACGCACCTTCCCTAAATGCTGTCCTCTTGCACAACAGCAAGTCTGTGACCGAAGCCACGGCGTGAACGTTGGTTTCAAACGGTCCCTTCTGCCTCGGCCTCCTGAGTTTCTGCAGCCACCCTTTGCCGGGTCCTGGCTGCACCTGTGGCCCATCTTCTCCTGCCGGGGTCTCCTCCGGTGGGCACAGTCCCTCTGCCCTCCCTCAGCTCGTGGGGCCGTTGAGAGCAGGCGGTGCTCTGCATAGGGTCCCTCCCTCCGTGGGGATGGTCCCGGGTTGCCTGAGAGCTCCATGGAGGGAGCCCCAGGCTGGCATGTGTCTGTCTTGGGCCCCCACATCAAAGCGCAGGGTGCAGGTGCAGACCTGTCTCATGCTGATGGCAATAACCTTGACCCCTTGGTCAGGGCGTCTGCTGCTTCCTGCACCATCAAGCGACTGTTTTGCCCTTTGAAAATGTTTTTGTTTTTACAGACGGAGTGTCAGCTCTGTTGCCCAGGCTGGAGTGCAGTGGCGCGGTCTCAGCTCACTGCAACCTCCGTCTCCCAGGTTCAGACAATTTTCCTGCCTTAGCCTCCTGAGTAGCTGGGATTACAGGTGCCCACCATCACGCCCGGCTAATTTTGTATTTTTAGTAGAGACGAGGATTCACCGTATTGGCCAGGCTGGTCTTGAACTCCTGACCTCAGGTGATCTGCCTGTAATCTCACCAAAGTGCTGGAATTACAGGTGTGAGCCACTGTGCCCGGCCGTAATGTTAATGTATATATTATAACATATGTATATAATGCATAAGATATA